AAAGAGGCAGGATAGAATATTCCCCCTGAAGGAGAAGTGGGGAGAAAAAAAAATCTTAGGCAGAAACAGCCCCAGTCTCCCTTTCCTCAGGCAGAAACCTGAGGAGGCCACTCTTCAGAAATGCAGATTTGGTGATCCATTCAGAAAATATGGGGCACAGTAAACAGCTATGGGATTAAGAATTTACTTTCCCCCACTCAGCTCCAAGGAGAGGATATGACCTCCCAGCCACAATGAGAGTCAGGCAACAATAGTTAGAATACCAAAAGGGCACACTCAAGCTCAGATCAAAGTATTACACAGCAACAGGTACCTCAAAATACAAAGCTCAAAGAAGGTATTAAAAACCCATCTACTCTCAACTCCATTTTGTCAGCTGTCCCAGAACCACATGCTTTTGTTGGTTCTGCTCATCAATACACAAAAACCTTCTTTCAAAAGCAGCCTCTATTTTATTCTCAGCTTGGAACTGAACCTGCTTATTCTTTCAACAGTATCATTAAGACATATTTCATGAGGCAAAATGAATATAGTTCCTTCCCTTCTCTCACACATCTCTCTCATTATTTAATCTGAAAAAAAGTGTTTCATCCAGTTAGGAAAAAGTTCAAGTTAATAGTAAGGTTTGATTAATAGGTAAACATTAAAAGTTGCTACAGTCATGGAGTTTAATATACTTTAAAAACAAGTATAATTGTTTGTTCAAATAATTGTTATTTTTTTTCAAACATATGTTTTTGAGCCACCAAGTTACAATAATAGAATATTTCTCTGATGTATTAGAAATCTTAGATAATGTTTTAAAAGGTCTGGCTGTCAATTTTGTTATGCTGGAAGTGTGATGATTTTGGGAATACTTGACATATAATATAGGTCTGTGCAACTATTGTTCATTTTGGTTAGATAACCATAAGTTTGTCAATGCAGATTTGGGAAGAAGAATAGGGTTAAAGATGTAACATGATTTACTTATGTATAATGCAAAAACTGCCTCATAGTAATTTTTGTGGTTAACGTTTAATGCTAGACAGACTTGATTTTGTAGGGCTAAAAATATGTTCTTCCTCTTCCTTTTCTTTTTCTTTCTTTTTAGATTTTGTTTTTATTCTTTTTCTTTTGTATGTTAAAGCAAATAAACAAACTTTTAAAAATTTCAAAAATTAACCTCCATTACAGTTCTGGAGAAATTAATCAGTGCCTATTAAACAGGCATATTAAGCTATCAAAAATACAGAAATGCAGAAATCATATCCTCTTTTTGGTACAGGCTAGTAAATTGAATAGGCATTTTTTCAGCTTCTATTGCTTGTTAAAAGTAACAGCTCCTATGGCACCTGGTATAAACTGAAAATGAAATCTGACATTACTTGTTAGAAAAGGCTGCTTGACCAAGAGCCGTTACAATAGCAACAAGATAAAAATTTCAAAAATAGATCACATTTTGTGAAATATTGGCAAGGGACTGCAAATTTAGCAGGGAGCTATTTTTTTTTTAATTGAAATTTTTTTAAAATTTTACAAAAACAAAACAATTTTCCCCCAAACCTCCCCAACCCTCCCATTCCCTCCCCCGACCTTCCCAGAGCTGAATATAGGCTTAATTAAAGTTTCTTCGAAAAATCTTAAAAAAGATATAAACCATAAATAAATCTAAATACATTACTTAAAAAAATTATAAGATAATTAACAATAGTGTGTATATAAAAAACATAAATACAAAAAATAAATGTTTAGAAAAGAAAAGAATAAAGAAAAGGAAAAAAGAAGAAAGATAAAAAATATTAAATTTTAAATATAAGTTATTAAAAAAACTAAATAATATTTTTATATCCAACTTGTGTTGTATAAAATCTATCCATTTTTTCCATACCGCAACATACTTCTCTTGCGATTGATCCTTCAAGAAAGCCAAAATCTTTGCCATTTCCGCCAAATAAGAAACTTTAAGAAACCACTCTTGCAAAGTAGGCAAAGATTCCCTCTTCCAACATTGCCCTACTAACAACCTTGCGGCTGTAATTAAATTTAACATCAATGTAATCTCTTTGGTATCACAATCAGTAACAATACCTAACAAGAACAATTGTGGGGTAAATTTTACCCTCTTTCTAAAAATTCTTTGAATATTCCACCATATCTTAATCCAAAAGGCTTTTATATTTTTACACGACCACCAGATATGATAGTAAGTAGCATCCAAACATCCACATCTCCAACATTTAGGCTGTAAGTCAGGATACATACGAGACATTTTTTGTGGATCAAGATGCCATCTGTAAAACATTTTATAAAAGTTCTCCCTTAAGTTCTGGGCTTGTGTAAATTTGACATTCCTCACCCAAATAGTTTCCCAGGTATCTAGTAGAACTGGTTCACCAAAGTTTTGTGCCCATTTAATCATACATTCTTTAACTAATTCCACTTCTGAATCCAATTCTACTAACACCCCATAAATTCTCTTAATGTGAGTTCGTCTTTGATCTTTTAGTTGTTTGAAAAAGTTTTCATCTTCTCTAAGCAAACACACGTTACGATCTATCTTCCATCTATCCACTATTTGTCTATACTGAAACCATGAGTATATAATATTTTCTTGTGCTAAATCTTCCAAAGATTTTAACTGCCAATTTTGACCATCCCATCTAAGTAATTGTGCGTAAGAAACACTATCCATCTTAACTCCTCTCCTTATCCCTTCTATTGCATGCCGTGGTATGGCCCATAATGGAATTTTGGAATCACTTCTGTAATATTTCCTCCATACCCGAAGTAAAGAAATCCTTATAATATGAGATTTAAAAACCCTATCAACCTTTTTATTAAAAATTAAATAGGCATGCCATCCAAAAAGTAAATCCCAACCCTCCAAGAGGAGTATTTCTACATTTGTTAAATTAAGCCAATCACTTATTAATGTTAAAACCACAGCCTCATAATACAATTTCAAGTTCGGTACCTTGAGTCCACCTCTCTCGCGAATATCTTGTATGATTTTAAGTTTTACTCTTGGTTTTTTCCCTGCCCAAATGAATTTATTAATGCCTTTCTGCCTACATTCATTCAGAACTATTAAAATATGGGAAAGATAACTCAGAACCTCTTTTTTTCTTGTTTTCAAGTTCAAAAAGGCATTTCTATTCAATGATTTTGCCGATTTGTTGGAATATATGCATTTTAAAATTTAGGCTTTCATTTTGAAAATAATAGGCAGTGATGTCAATCCAGCTTGTGTGATGCCTGTAAGTTTGTACTGAATGCAGTATTTGAGCTGCTGCTGGATATCAACATAAATGCAGACATATATTTTTAAACATACCAAATAAATATCTCTGTGTCTAAAATCGACAGGGCACCGCCGATGTAAATACTGAACTTTGCCACCACACACTACAGTATAAATTAGTAACTGACGTTTCTTTGAAAGATGATTAAGTGTTATTTGGAAACATAAATATATTACTCATTTGTATTTAGATGTGTTTTCTGCCTTAAAACCGTTTCTTAAGTGTGACATGATACAATTGTGAAACAAAGGATGGAATTTTGCTACAAATCACCAGGCAACCAAGGAATCAGATTAAACTTTGATCCAATTAATCATCCAAGATACGTTCATTGTGTATATGTATAAATAAAACAAACAGAATAACTTATATTACCAGATGTTTTTATAGAGGTGAATCCAGGATACAAAGAAGTTAGTTTATACTTTGTCATAACAGCTCCGTCTGTTATTGTGATTCTGAATATGAAATGATTTGTCCTTGAGCTGACTTAGAATTGTCTGGGTAGAATTCAAACTATCATCTGTTTTTAATTTCAGAGCCTATTTTTCTCTTCCAAAAGTCAGAATTCTTGACTTATTTTTATCATTTGCTAATTACAACTTTGAATTATTTTACAGTTCATATTATTATTATTCCTGAGCCTTTAATCACATTGTGGATAGGAAATTGAGGCTACATTCACTCAGTGCTCTAAAAGAAAAATGTTTTCAGGTGATTTTGGTTTAGTATAATGTGCAAATCCAGGTCACCTGTGGTCTATAAAGATGTGTAACATATTACCAAAGTCCCTAGTGCAGTGATGGCGAACCTTTTAGAGACTGAGTGCCCAAAAACTGGCCCTGCCCCTGCTCCACCCCTGCCCCGCCCCCTCTCTGCGCCACCCTGCCTGCCCGCAGGGCCACTCACTGCCTCCAGGGCCTGCCGCAGATTGCCCAGGCAACCCAGCAGCACCATGGCGGCTACGCCCTCTGCCAACGTCCTGCAGCATCAACTGTGCGAGATGGGGCATGAGGGCAGAGTCTTGTCTATGCTGCCTGGCTGCCAAGTCCTTGGCTGCGCTGCTCTGTGTGGGCCACGCTCGGGGGCAACTCTCCTCCAGGGAGGCTGCTGGTGAGGTGGCAAGGCTGGGGCAACAGCACGTGTGCCCACAGAGAGGGCTCCGAGTGCCGCCTCTGCCATAGGTTCGCCACCACTGCCCAAGGAGGTATAAAGCCCTAGTTTTGGGGTGAGGCACATGCCTAAAAATCAAACTAGGATGGGGGGGTAGAGCTGCCCCACACGCCCCATGCCTACTTACTGTTGTAGCCTGCCTCTTCTTGCCAGCCCACTTCTTCTGCAGAGTCCCCAGCCTGCATTTCGCAGTCAGAGGCCTTTCCGGAAAGCCTCTGCAACCAAGAACCAAGCTATGGATTCAATCCGTAGCTCAGTTCTCGGCTACAGAGGCCTACCAGAAAGGCTTCTGACTGCGAAATGCAGGCTGGCGCTCCATTCTCAGCTGCTGGGGCAACAGCATGTCTGCCCACAGAGAGGGCTCTGAGTGCCGCCTCTGGCACCCGTGCCATAGGTTTGCCACCACTGCTCTAGTGATTAGCTGGTAATGTGTTTTTATGAGGGCTTGTAAGAAAGGTAGGAAAGGTTTTACTCTTTTCCCACTGTGACTCTTATTGATTCAGGTGCTGTAGGAACTAAACTAAATCTTGTCTTCTCTAATCCCAAAGCTGAAACATCTCATTGACATATCTTACCTATGCATTTGGTATTCTCTGCAGCTGTCATTACAGCACTTCTGTTGAGTTCACCTGTAAGCAATTTGCATTGTATCAATAATAATCGTGATCTTATAGCTTTGTCATCCATTTTTTTCTAGATTGTGCCATCATATTGGAGAAAAAAAATGTTATGCACCTGAAAATGGCCAATGAAGCACAAATTTTCAGAGAATTCATGAAGAATATACAGCTGATAAAAAGTTGTGGATATGGAACAGATCATTATTTAGCAGTTTTAAATATAGAGTTGAAGGAAGGTTGGTGAGGATGATAAAGGTGGAAGTGAACCATACAAAAGAATAAAGGTTAGGTTGTATAATGCCTCATGCTTATTTACTGTGTTTATAGATAAATATTTCAGGAATGCTTGTGGTGATGGTAGAAATGGGGTCATAAGATAACCAAAATTATTTTTAGTGAATGTCAATTAGAGTGCATGGTAAGGCAAGGACTAGTCCAGGGGTAGGCAACCTTGGCTCTTTCATGACTCATGGACTTCAACTCCCAGAATTCCTGAGCCAGCCAAGCTGGTTCAGGAATTCTGGGAGTTGAAGTCCACGTGTCATAAAAGAGCCAAGGTTGCTTACCTCTGGACTAGGAGCACATTTCCTGAATTTGACTGGGAAAATGAGAGTTTTGCAAGATATATGCAAATATCGACTTACGACCACAAATGAGCCCAACATTTCTGTCGTTAAGTGAGATGTTTGTTAAGTGAATTTTGTCCCATTTTAGGACCTTTCTTACCACAGTTGTTAAATGAATCACTGCAGTTGTTAATTTAGTAGCACAGTTGTAAAGTGAACCTGGCTTCCCCACTGATTTTGCTTGTCAGAAGGCTGCAGAAGGGGATCACGTGATCCTGGGACACTGCGACCGTCATAAATGTGAGTCAGTTGCCAAGCGTCTGAATTTTGGCACTTGGCAATGCTGCAACAGTTGTGTGAAAAATGATCATAAGTCGCTTCTTTTAGTGCAGTGGTAACTTAGAACAGTTCACTAAACAAACTGTTGTAAGTTGAGAACTACCTGTACTGAAAACCTTAAGCAAGCAGATGAATTTATGTATCTCAGCAAAATATTTTTTAAAGATGGGCAAACAGATGGAGAAATTTGTGAGGTGCGTAAATTCTGTTAAAAAGTTAACAGACAATATGTGGTTTACTGCAAGAAATGCAAGTTTGTCAAAATAAAGAAAAATAGCTGCCTCTCAGAATGCCTTTTCACCCGCTTCATTATACTGGCAAAGATTTTGCTTTCCTGAAGTATAAACTAAATTGGAGAATGCACTGGAGAAGTAGTAGAGATAAACCCTAATGGGGACAAATTTCAACCAGATCATAATAAAGATATTTCAAAGGACCCCCCCACACACAAAAAAAATCAAAGCTGTGCTTTTTATGTATTTTCTTGCTGTGCAAGCAGGACACCGAAGGAAAGATAATGGATGCTTTTGAATTATGCAAGCAGAAACTCAGATACTTTGGACACCTGATGTGAAGGGATGATGGACCCAAAAAATGAATATATTTGGCAAGATAAAGGGAAATAGAAGCTATCTTCACAAGACAACTGACAGCATCAAAGAGATTATTGGAATATCCTGGGAAGAAATGATTTATTGCTAAAGATGAGGGTGAGCTTTAATCCATCAGTCACTATGGAACCTGACTCAGTAGCAGATAATAAATAACTATTAAGTATTTATTTCTATTGAAAATCTCCAACCTCCCATACATCTAAACAAATTAAAAACCTATTATATGGAATTTAAAATTTATAATTATATAATTTATGCATTTGGTTTGAAATAAGGCACATTATCAGGGTATTAGAGCATCTAAAAAGATTAATCTGAAGTGCAGTCAAGTCACACTAAATTACTAGCTTTGTAACACCACTGAGATAAAAGCGGTAAATAGCTTCTAGTAACAAGGCAGGGAGAAACTGAAAATGACATACTGTATATAGGGAGAATGCTTTCTGAAAATGATTTCTTACGGACTTTGATTTCTTTTCAACTGGTATTCTATATCTTCTCTCCTTTTAAAGCAAAAGCAAACATTTGCCCAAATTACTAGAAAAATATAGTACAATACAAACTCGTAGCTTTATTCAGTCTTATCTTCTTCCTGAAGCAAAACATTAGGTTTCTTGTGTTTCTAAATACAATTTCCAAGCACAAATAGAAATATGTGTAAGATGTTCCCTATGTAAAGGTCTTCATCAAGATGTAGAAGGCCCTTCTTTACAAAAAATATGTCTTCTTTCCTATCTCCAAAGTAACTACTACATATTTTTCCCCATCTCATTTAATTTGATCAACTGCCTGGACCAGAACTATGCTGGCTTTTGGTGATATCTCACCCTAAATATCACCTGTTTAAGTCTCCTATCCTACTTGTTCCTTGTTTGTCCTGTTAAATGGCTTCACTCTTTACAGTACGGCCTACAGAATCTGAAATTGCTTCTGAGGTTGCATTCGTACATCTACAGTACCTCTTATTTTCTTTAAATTCCACCTTCAGGACTCAATTTCTCCACTGTCTTTAACACAAAGTTTATCAAAACTATGCCACCCTGAAATTAAACTTAAAGAAATGAAGCCAAAAAGTAAAACAGACATAATGCAAGTAATCAAAAATACTTGTTTACATCTAAACAAGTGTACTTAACCCATAACTTTGATTCTGGAGACAAAGAAAGTCCCAATGCAGAATGTATTCTTGGCAACATCTTAATACAGGTTTAATACTGAAAACTTTTTTCTGAGGTGCAAAGTAAAAGCAACATTTGGGGCTGCAAGAAGCATACATATATGTTTCATTATTAAACAAATGGAGAGTTGCTGGAAGGCAGGCAGCCTATAAGTGGTATAAATAATAAATTAATAAATTTGAGACTGTTAAGTCCTTAGGGAGCTATCTTTAGATCCTTTTTGTAAAGCACATTCACATTCAAGTGACCACAAAAATAATATATATTACATGCAGACTATATACAAATAACTATTAGGTTGCATCCTGAATTATAGTTAAAGTAGAAATTGAGTCATGTTGATTTCAATAGGACTGCTCTAAAATAATTTGTCTAGCGACTCTGACCTAAAAATAACTATAAATTTTCCACAGATCTGCAATATTCCTACAAAATTCCTATAAATATACTTTGAAAGTTAGGCACTGCCTCTTAAAAACACTTTTTACTGATTCAAATGAATATGAGTATTCTGAACTTCAAATATTGATTCAAACTCACCAGTGCACAGTAGTCTCGATAACATGCTGTTTGTTTGGACTCTGATAAATTTGCCATCTTAAAAAAGGTAATTTCAGTGAAAATAATTGCTGAGACCAATGTCAGCACAGCTGGTTATCAGCTACTTAGTAGTTAACCAGAAAGCCTGTGATGTATTGGGTCATTGTTTCAAAGATATTTCCTTACCTAAACAGAGAAACAGAATGACCACAGATGGGCAAAATAAACGAGTGGGAAAGGAGGTACTTGTGATTTCCTGCTGGCTTCCCCATTGAGTTTCCTTGTGAGAAGCTGGTAGGGAACATCCTCCTCCTCCTGGGTTGACTCACAGAACTAATCACTACTTTGCTGGGGGGGAGGGAACAAAAAGAGCTATGAACCATGAGGAAAACTGCATTCCCACTTCTCATCCCAGCATCTTCCCAAGGGCCCTCTCCTTCCAGGAAAGACAAAAGCTCATTGATCAACTGCTGGTTTCCTCCAGCCAGACCTATCATGCCAGCAGGCATCTAAGTAGATCCCTCATCTTTCATTCAGAGCCCACTGTTGTTAAGTTGTTTGAAATTTCAGCTTTGGTTCTAAAGCAACCAATTGCTACTTATCCATCAGACCTTACCACAGCCACTTGGGGCAACAGTAATAGCAACAATGATTTCTGTCTTCCTGCAGGCTTCCCCATTGACTTTACTTGTGAGAAGCTGGTAGGAATCATTGGAAATCACCCCTGCTCTTTCTTGACTAACCCACAGAACTGCCGGTCACTTTGCTGTGGGGAAGGGAAACAAAGGGAGCTGCTGACTACAAGGAAAGCTGCATCCCTGTTTTCCAACCTGGTGTGTCCCCAAGGCCCTCTCCCTCCAAGAAGGAAGAAGATCTTCTCATCAACTGCTAGCACCCTTAGCCACCTCCATTTTGCCACCAGGCTTCCAAGTCATCCATTCATCCTTCCCTTGCTGCCCACCACCATTAAAGAGTTTTCAGATTTCAGTTTCAGTTCCAAAGCAGCCAATTGCTGCTCACCTGTCAGGACTTGGCCCAGACAATTGCCTGTGGGGACCAGAGGAGGCAAGAAAAGAGGCAGGGATAAACCCCTCCCATCTTTCCTTGTACCAAATAACCTACAGATTTCTGGGAAGTCCACAACCTAAGATTTCTGGGAAGGCTTGATGGTGCTGACATGGCTACATCTCAGCCAAGTTTCAATCTCATTGGACTAATGGGTCCCAGATTTTGTTTTGTTTTAAGTTGGCCCATTTGAAGTTGAACTTGTTGAGAGGGGGCGTTGTCTTACCTGAACGCCTTTTCTCAGCACCGAGATGGAGAATCCACCAATGGGTTGAGACTGTATTCCTGCCCAATCAGATCAGTCAGCCAAAGTTGCCATGCCGTCCTGGACCATGAGATCCCAGTCTTGACGCGAGCGAAGCCATTGACTGACAGCAAGACGTTGTGGCTCACCATTAACTAACCCTGGACCTATATGACCTACGAGGGTGGGAGTGGATTCTCCATCTCCGTGCTGAGAAAAGGCATTCAGGTAAGACAACGCCCCTTCTCCAGCACTGGAGATGGAGAATCCACCAATGGGACATACCAAAGCCTACTGTCCCTGAGGGTGGGAAATAGACTGGTCCCGTGTGCTACTTTGGTGTATGACCTGCTGGAGAACCCTTCTACCAAAGGAGGCCTCTGCAGAGGAAAATCTATCAATTTTATAGTGACGGATGAAGGGTGATGGCGAGGCCCATGTGGCCGCTCTGCAAACTTCCTCA